GGCAGAAACCAACCTGCCTTGACGCCAGTTTTTCTGTGTGTCATGGCTTGACAGGTCATCATGATTGGAGATGATATCGTGAATGATGTCGGCGGTGCCCAGCGCTGCGGGATGAGAGCCCTGCAAGTGAGGACAGGGAAGTACAGGTCAGTGCACACCCTATACCCTGCACTCTGTGGGGGCAGTCATGGGAAAAGGGGGGAAACAAATGGAAGTCATGACTTTTTGTGTGTACCTTTTCTGCCCAACGACACTGTGCTCTGATTTCCTTACAACACATGAATTTCTGAGAGAGAAGGAGTTGTAGTTTGGAAGCTGGTACACATTCCAAGTGAATGTGCAAAAGCAGATTTTTTTTTTCCATGTGTTTTCCAGATCTTTTTCTGTTGGTGGCACAAATTTGCCATCAAGATGCACTTCCACTTGCTCTCTGCACAACCATCTCCTTGTGCAGCAGTCAGGCTTGCATGGGTGACGATATTTTCATTTCTAAACAGCATTTTGGGAAAGCACAGTGTGTATGAAAGTGGCAGGAAGGGGAAGACATACTGTCTTTGATCTTTAAGAAAAATGTTTTCTGTTAAATTACTGCTATAATTTTTTCATCACAGTGCATAGAACTGGTGTGTTTCTTGGGTTTTGTTTGTTGTCTTGTGTTTTGCTGCTGGGTGAAAGTGTTGTACACTTGATACAAGACATGTCTGAAACTTCCAGCAGGGTTAAGATTATAAAATTAGACTCAGTGCTCTCTGAGGGTCATATCTGAGAGCTTTATGAGGGACTCCATATTTCCTCTAGACATGTATACAGCACTCAGATATCTGGGATGTGAGAGCTGTTTCTCCACTTCCCAGTCTCACCAGTATGCAGTCTTCCACAGGCTCACTCACCTCTTCCAAATGACCCTTCAAACCCTTCTCCATGCAGATGTCTCCATGATGTTGTGCTTCCATTGACCCAAGAGCTACCTCCTTGCAGCTGCTGACAGGAGACCTAAGTGCAGTTATACCCAGAGCATGGTCCAGGGTTGCCTGGTGGAAAATGAAGCCACCATCTGATGCTCAGGCCAGGTTAGGTTTGAGGTCAGCCCATGGAGACTCTCCAAATGCAGTGCAGACTACACTTCATATTTGGGTTCCAAAACACTCAAAATCTTCTCTTAACTACTTCCTCTTAACCATAACCATGCCTTGTGGTAGTTGGCATGGTTCAGCACCACCATCTGTCATAATTTATATTTTTACAAATTGTCTTGATTTTCAAACACTGAGACTGTAAAAGACAGACTTTTTTTTGGGAGAGATGCAGCAAGTGAGAGTAGAGCTTGCCATAGGCTATATGAAAAGTTGTTTTGTTAGTTTTCAAGTGAATCTGTTTCTCAGTTTTTCTTTTAGTTTGTGTAAGGTGATAATATAATACCCAGTGCCTTAATCCTAATGGTTTCTGGGTGAAAAAAACCAAACAGACAGATCCAAGTGTATTTTATTTTGTGTATTTTTGCATTTTTAAGATAGTACATCTCAAAATCAGTTTGAGATGTAGCTCAACAAATGAGATAAAGCTTAACAAATACCAGAGATTTAAATATTGAATATTTAGTTTGTGCTTTTGGGATTATTTGTCTATAATTTGTGGAATCCCATTCATTTCCTAGAGGAGAAATAAGGATTCAATGGTTGATTTTACTGTGATATTAGTGGGGTCATTTTGGGAATCCACAGATTTCTGTCACAGAAATACAGGTGTCAGTGAGGAAGGAATCTCTGCACTCAGGGGAGTGTTAGACCTTTGCTGCTGGACAAATCTGTCCTGTGACATCCTTTGCCCATCATCAAAAATGCTGCATCCAAGCTATTCAGGCAACTGAGATAAGCTGTATATACAAAAAGAGAGAGAGAAATAAATATGTATAATCATATGCTGGACAAACATTTTCTTGTATCAAGCTGGAGTCTTGATACAGCTGCAAGGGAGTCACCAGCTGTTCTAGATGGGTAAAAAAAATTGTTTTCCACAGTTGTGTTTCCTGTTGCAGTGTGTGGTTGCTGTTATCTGAAATCATATTCTGTGGCACAGCAGTGAAATACAGATGAGTGTCTCTCTAAACTGAGCATGGGGTGCCAGTCCTGGGCTTAGCAGTTGTGAGTAAAGTGAAGTAGCTCTTGTTTGCCATAAGAGGTCAGAGATGCGTAAATTTTTAAGAATGACTGATGTGGTATCTGTGGAAAATCAAAATACACAGTGGGTATTGAGAGACGTGGAAAAAAAACCAAACGAATTAAAGCTGATGAGCAAAAGAAGTGAAAAATAACTGCAAACTGAATTATTTAATGGCTGGTTTGAAATCTGACCTGTGTAAGATTGTGCACAGGTCCTCTTGTTTCACTGGTGTGGTAGTTCTTGGTGGCACAGAGCTGTGTGCTACACCCAGGTACCTCTGGATGGCAGCGTTAGGCCGTTCACTTCAGCGTTAGCAGCAGCTTGGGGACATCTCCGGAAGCAAAGGCTGGGTTTGCGACCAGAGTGTAAAGCCCAGGGGCGGCAGAGGGTTGCTGGAGACGCTCTGTGCTGGCACACTGGGGTTTCCACAGGTTTCAGTCTTGCAGCTCGGGACATGGGCCTCAGACGAATTGTCTCTGTGTTTTTCAGCCGTGAGCAGTTTTTTCCAGTTCCACCCCGACAATCCTGCCTCGGCTCAGCTGAGCGGATGCAGGGCTGGTTTTGAAAACAGAGCAGAAAAGAGTGGTGCTTTTCACAGCATGCTGCTGGACACGTAGAAATGACATGAGAGGCGCAAGTTCTGCCAGTGAAGGCATTTTGCATGTTGTTCTGTTGGTCCAAACTCTGTTGTACCCCTCCAGTCTCATCTAAACGCTGTCCCTGACGGGCAGACATTGTCACCTCTGGTGCACGAGTGTGCATCAGGGCAGCTCTCCTTCTTTCAGGGGTCAGAGCAGTTTATGGGAATATCTTTGGGGTCTGCTGCTCACCAAGTGCCAGCAAAGGGTTATGCACCATAGCACAAGAGAGGACACGAGTCAAGGTTTACTGACCTCCTTTTTGTGTTTTAAAAGGACTTCAGTGATCCTATGTAGACCGCAGGCTGCAAAGCAACTCGGTGCATCTTACTTGCTTTAACAAGCTAGAAAAAAAAGTCCCCTTTGACCCTGAAAGCCCTTTGTGGAAAGAATCAGTTGATCTGCTGATGCAGGGTTTTCAGCAGTAGACATGGGTGGACAGGTCTGCAGGGCAGGCAGCCTCCAGCTGGGTGCAGGAAGCTGACTTCAGCCTGCAGCGTCAGAGCCTTTCTCTGTGCTGGTGTTTGTTCCACGTTGCTCAGTGATGGTGGTGACGGGTACCAGCTCCCTGCTGGTCTGAGGAACTGGTTTGGTGAATGCTGGGTGGGGGTGGTTGGCTTTGCAGGCACATTGAGGACCAGAGAAGAAGTAGAAGGGGTGTTTATGGAGCCCCAGGGCTGCCTCCATACTCGGGTGCTCACATCCCCTGCCTCTGCAAGGTCTTCTTCAGTGTTGCCTGGTCCTGGGGTGGGTTAAAAAACTCTCAGTTTTACACCACTTTGTGTGGAGGTCCTGAGAAATAACTCTGTTGTCTTGTTTCTTTTGTATAGCTGATTCTCTTTAGCATGACAAGCTTTGCATGTTCTTCACTCCTGCATCTGTGCTTATCTTCTCCTCTAAAGCAAGTCTCAAGTGTGCAGCTCTTTCTCAGTAGCCAAACCATGCACAGATTAGTCCATGGAATATAATAAATCCTGGCTGCAACATGGAATAAAATTTCATAGCACTAGGAGAGGTGTAGGGATAAGGTGTGTTTTGAGTTGATCTCAGCCAGCATGGTTCTCCAACATGGAGTGAGTAGTTGGGTTGGCCAATTATAGCCCTTCCTTGGTGTAAAATCCAAATGCAGAGGGTCGGTCTGGTCTGCAAGTTTGTCCACTCTCACTTTGTGCCTTCAGTGATGGCAGATTAGGCCATTGCTGCAGACTTGTGTGCTGAGAGAAACAGCTGGTGGTGGATTTTCCAGCATTGGGAAATCTGACGCTAATTACACAGTTTCTGTGCACACCTGCGTGGAGGCCCTTCACAGCCAACATCTTTCCCATCTAGGGAAGAACATGTGCACAGGGTATGTGCTAATTCCACTTGCAGCTAATTGGCCTTGACATCAAACCAATAATTTCCACAATAACTATTGATTCTGCAACGCTGGGTAATGTCCCCGTTCTTCTTCGTAGCGTGCAAGTCAGAGCAGAGAACATTTACTTTGAGGGTTTTCCAACTGTCTCCCTGTAAAATTGGCATCAGCTTTCAGGTGCGTCAGTGTGTCAAATTGCAGGTGGTTCTTGGCAGGGCACAACAGTTACCTACCCCTTTCTCCTTGTTGTTATTTACAGGTCTTCATTTGTAAGTAAAGAGCTTTCCATTGCTGGTGAGTGGCGGTACCAGGAATATTCATGGCAGTGGTACCTGCTGCCCCTGCCTGCCTATGGGCTCCAAAATGGTTTCAGAAGCTGGCAGTAGGGATTCATCCCCCTGAGTGTCCACATGAGGTTTTCTTCCTTTGATTAGAGACTTATCTCATGGCCATGGCTGATACTGCAACATCCCTGAGCTCCCTCCTTGGGGACATAAAGGATCTCCCAGGGATGGAGGATAAAAGGACAGGTCCCACAGGAGCTGCTGTCTCTCTCCAACTCTGCCCACTGTGCTCTGGGAGAACTGGGTGAAGTTACTTCCTGTTGCTGTTTTACAGTTTCCCTGCTTTATAATAATCCTCTGAGAATAATTATCCTGACTTCATTAAGAAAGTGGCTTGTGATCTGCTCCTCTTACCTGTTTGAAAAACATACAGGATTTGTACAGATTTATAAGAAATGATAAATATCCAGTCGTGATCAAGACAAAAGTTGTGACAGAGGAAAGGTCTTCTAAGCTGCCATCATCAACTGGTTAGGGATTAAGAAAAACAGGATGGGTCTTTGTAATAACCTCCTAAATTAAGCTATAAAATTATTCTTAAACAAATAAATATTTCTACCCATAGATAAATTCACAGCTGTCACTGTTACAGTAAAAAAAGGTCATGACACATTTTGTGAAGAAATAATCACATCTTAGTGCTCTCC